TTCATTTGGACACCACCTGACTAGACTTCATACACCCCATCTCTTCCTCCTCAATGTTTTGTCCACCTCATAGAGGTATCCCTTCTTATTAAAAACCTCAGATGGCAGTCCTACCTTGCAGATAAAGTCTACAAGTCAAAATTCCTTTGAAATTAGTCAAGGTTAAGCCTTACATCCTTTTAACTCCTGTGACTGTTCTGCCAATGTGTTTCTCTCCTGAAACACACACCCATAAATGTGTTTGAAACTCTAGCCACAGAAACAAGCTCATCTTTACTGAAACCTGGCATGCTTTTCATGCATATGAGAATTCTACTTTCTCCCTCGTGGAATGACTTCCCAGTATTTCTACTCATTGTTAAGGCCTATTTCTAAAATTATTTCACATAGCAGATCATTATAATGGCCTTCAATGAATCATGTATGCCTATGTCAAAATGACATTGCCACTCCTACATCAGGAGGTTAAGTTTGTTTCTGCATCCCCTTAAATCAGGGCTTGGCCTCTGACATCCTTTGATGGACATGACATTGTATGAATTCCAGAGCCTTGGTATTAAAAAGCCTTGCAGTTTTCATTCTCTCCCTCTTAGAACCCCCAAACCATCACTCTGGAAAAGCTGAGTCTACCTTATTGGAGGATATGTAGTGATGTGGAGGGAAACTGAGACCACAGCTAAGGTTAAGAAAGAAGTAAAGAGTAATAAAGGTGTGAGGCCACTGTGAACCCTCTAGCCTCAACTGAACTATCAGATGACTATGGCCTCAGTGAGACCAGCAGAAGAACTGCCTGGACTGCCAGTTCATGGAATTATGATGATGAGAAATGAGAAATCACTGTAATTTTAAGCCATGATAGCATGTGGGAGATTGCTATGCAGAAATAGATTACTGACATACTTCTCAGAAAAATGTTGCAGACATACCCATGAAAAAGTCATGATTCTTTCCTGAGTGCAAACAGTACTTTGTCCATTCTTCTATTATAAAATGAAGCACATAGAATTATGGGTCTACCTGTATCTTTTTCTCTCCCTAGATTAACATCTTTTTCATTTAAACAAAAAATATTATTGGATTCATGTGGGTTTATACTTTTTTTTATTCACTAAGTTTACTGGTACATAGATTAATAGCTTTGGAAGGGTGGAGATCAAGTTTTTGTTGATCTTACTATTTCCTACTACTACTCTAGTGCCTGGAACATGGAAACCATGGATGCTTATTACCAGGTCACATACTACCAACTCCTGAAATCCTTTCCCTTGACCTCTCAGACTCGCGGTCAATAATAAAGAAAATAATTGGATATTTCCTTTATCATTTTGTTCCTCTCCAGTGGCCCTCCTTCCCTGCAGCCCTCTTTGGTGACAGCTGTTTCCTGCTATGGCTTGCATATTCTGGAGTTTGAAGGGAAAATTAGTGACTTCCTTGTTTCTCAGGGCTACATACAAACTATCTTCACTTCCTTCTTCTTGAAACCATGAGATCATCAAGCCATGAGAAAGCTGAGTCTATTTAGTGGAGATTCAAAATTTTCTCCTTCTCTTCCTGATCTCTTTATATTGGGTATTCCAACTTTCAGGACATGGACTATGTATTCTACTTATATTCACTGCTGCTGTGAGCTTATTTATTCCATGGTTCTATATATCATATAGATGTCAATGCCTTATTTCCTCACGTCAGACATTCTTAAAAATTTAGATCTTCAAACAAAGTAAAAAAAAAATGTTCTGCTTTGACTTCCATGACATCAGGTTAAGCTACCTATACTCCTTGTTGTGAAGGTCTTCTCATTCCATAAAGATTGCACACAGACTACCAACCACCTTCTCTAATGCCCCTCCAGTAGTGATCTCAATATTTATATGGATCGATCTTCCAATATCGTGGCCTCTTAGTTATTGGCCTCCTCTCTTCCAACGAGCCTGCCCTCCATCCTGTCTCAGTCACACCTTAGATGGTCATATGGTAACCTGTCCATGATCTCCATTTCAAATATCCACCATCCAATCACTGCTTGCTGTATTTCCAGCTCTCTTATTTGTGCCTTGAACTTTAAAATTCTTTTGCCACTGGAATTTCAGTTTGTTACCACTCCTTTTCACACTTCCTCACCCCATCTCTGGCTTCACTTTTCTCTATTATGATTTAATGATCAGTCATTTCAGTTGTTCCCTTGTCTGTCTCTTGATTCATATACTCTCATAATTGCTGTAGCATTGTGTCCAGTTTCTACCTGACACATGCTGAATTCAGACTTAAATGTGGCCAAGAAAGAATTGTCTCTCTTTAAACTTGTAAATAATCCCAAGGGGGCCCTTAATGCTACCTCATAACCAAAGCTTCATTTTCCTACTCTGGTCTCTTTACTCTTGTAGTTGAATATTTTACGATTTATAATCTCTCATCAAAACTTCATCATCTCTACTGTCTTTGCTTTCCTTATTACTAAGAAAATAGACAATTAAGAGAGAAATTCTACCCGCTCCTACTTGCTCCCATCCTTGCTTCCCTTCCTCTTTTATGAATAAACAGTACATGATTCCAGCTAAAGGTATTTACATGCTATTCAATCTCCTCTTACCTACTCATTGATCTCAATCTTTGACTTTCTTTTTTCAGTACCATTTCCCCCCTGGAGTCATTCCTATCATCATAAAATATACTGTAATTTGCATTTTTAGAAAACCTACATGTTCTGACCTAATGTCTCCCTCTAAATACCTCTGCATTTCTTCTTTTTATAGGAAAAAAAAAACACCTTCAAAGACTAACAAGTGGCCAAACATACTGCAAAGAGAACCAGATGAAACTTTAGAAATAAAAAAAAATTGAAATTAAACACTTAGCTGCATAAAGTGACAATTATTTTTCAGAGACCAATACAATATTAATAAAAGATATATACTTCATGGTTCATCTTATGAGGGTAGAATAAATTTGATACCCAAATTAACACTGAAAGTAAGAAAAACAGCAGAATGATCTGGTCCAGAAAAATGGGTATAAAATTCTAAACATATTATTAAACAAAATCCAGTAGTGTACTAAAAATAATGTATCAAGACTCATATAGTGTAATTCTATTTGGATAAACTTCAAAATTAGAGAACACTAATTCAACTCTTTTCTTTTCAAGGATTGAATATTTGTGTCTCTAAAATTTACATATTGAAATCTATTCCCCTGTATGATGGTAGAAAGAAGTGGGCCCTTCGGGCAGTAATTTATGAGGGTGGAGCCCTCATGAATGGAAGTAGTACCCTCTTCTTGTAAGGGTTACCTAGTGTCCTTTTTTCCCATATGAGGACAGAACTAGAAGTCTGCTGTCTGCAACTGGGAAGAGACCTCACCAGAACCTGTACCTATTGGCACCCTGACCTCATACTTCCAGCCCCCAGAACCATGAGAAATAAATTTCTGTTGTTTCTAAGCCACCCAACCTGTGGTGCTTGTTATAGCAGCCTAACCTGACTAAGAAAATATTTGGGTTCAGTAATGGTTTGGATAGTGAAATGGGGATACTTTAACTGAGTCTATTTACTTTTTAAGTTAACATATAGTAACATTGACTCTCTGTGTGTGTTTATACTGTTTTATAAAGTATGACCCATTTAGGTATATGTTATCACCATGGTCAGGATACATAACATAAACTCCTGCTATCTCTTGTCATCAAACTCTTCCCCTCTAATTTCCAATGTGTGGTAACCACTGATGTGTTTCCATCACTAGAGTTTTTTTTATATCATTTAAATGGAATCAGACAGTATGTGACCTTTTAAGACTGGTTTCTGTCTCCAAGGAAAATGATACTGAGATTAATCCAAGTTGCTGATGTTTGCTGATGTATCAGTAGCTTATTTTTTTTCTGTCGAATATGGATAGAATTGAATGTGTTTATTCATTTGCCCAATGAAGGACATTTGACATAGTTCCAGTTTGCAGAGATTATGGATAAAGTTGCTATAAACACTCGCAAGTGAGTGAGTGTGTGAACACAATTTTCCAATCTCTTAGGTAAAGGGATTGCTGGGTCATGTGATAAACATATGTTTAACTCTTGAAGAAACTGTCAAACTTTTTTCAAATTAGCTGCACCACTTTACACTCCCACAAACAAAATATGAGAATTCTAGTTCCTCCATATAATCAGTGCCACTTAGGTCAATCTTTTTATTACTGCCATTCTAAAAGGAGGAGAGTAGAAAGTAAGTCTTGTTCAGTCCTTAATTTTAGAAAGTAAATAGACAAAGTTTAAGAATGAGAGAATCATGTAAAATTTTATTATAATTTGCTTATTTGTTTGGATAGCAAAGGAAGATACCTATGTATTAAAACTATGAAGAAAAATAATGAATTTACTAGCACAAAATAGACAATGAAACAGAGAAGGAGATCCAATCCACTAGATACAAAGAGGTACTCTAAGATAGTGATAACATGATATTTATAAGGTAAGGTAGTTGGTGCATATGACGTATTATATTATTAGCATTGAAACTATACCCATATGTCTAATATATTTCATAAAAAACAAGTCTTGGCAGAAAAACAAAAAAGAACACACAACAATATTTTAAAACTACTTTTTTAGAAGTCCAAATATAGTGATTTAAAGGCATTTTGTAGAATCTGAATGAGTTTCTTAAAACACAAAATTTTCTTTAAAACCTAATTTCTGTAATATTTCTGTGGTTATTTATATCCCACAACCTAAGTTGCTACTGTGTCAGTTTATTAATGGTCTACTTCACTCCCAGGGGTCTTAACCACAGACACTTGAAGGGCTGGCATGGTCACACCATTCTTAATGACTCACAGGGAGGAGCTTCTCCCTAGAAACCAGGATGGGACTTGAGTCAAGAAACACACTGAATGTTTCACTTTTCCTATTCACAGGTTCTCAGACAACCCCAGGTCACAATCTAGACTGCAGAATCTTTCAATGGCCTCTTCTGCTTACTGTTAACCCTTTGTAAGAAGTACCTTACCTGTGACCACACTCGGGATTTTGGAGAGAAAACTCTTGACGGTTCTGATGGGCACACCCCCTGTCTTGTCATCTTGCATCTTTGTAATGATGTCTTCAATCTGAAAGAGGTTAAAGAAAAGAAGTATTATTTTCTCCCACTAAGTTCTGGGATCAGGGATGTCAGAGGGTGATATCAAAAAGCATAAGGCATGTTCTGTAAAAAAAAAAGTCCCAGTTCAATAAGGCAATGAGGGAGAGATACATTAGGATTCTTGATGGGCTCCAACAAGTAACTCAATGTATATGTGATGAAATTCCTCCTCTTATGTAGATCGGGTTTATATATAGGTTGAATCATAGGAAATTGCCATATTTGAATGCCTCAAAACGATAATTTTCTATGGTTTAACCTAAAATGTTAACACATACTGTTATGAAGTTCAGTCAGGGCTATATTTAAGACCAGAGAAAGAATCAACCAGTCATGTGGGAGAACAAAAAGAAAAAAGACTATAAATGAAGACATAGCCCTGATCTGGAGAAGTTAGAGAACAGGTCTCAGTGGTTGTGAGAGGTGGCATGAGTGTGGTCATCTGGAGCCAGGATGCAGGTGTTCAAGGACAGAGTGCTCTCCATTTGGACTAAGGAAGACAACAGTGTGGAGAAAGACTGGTTGTCTATGGGCTGCAGCCTGGAGCCTAGTGACACACTACTGGTGAAAACAAAATAACCATTACAAATGACTGTTAGCTAAGAATTTATAAACTTTATGTAATTTCCAGAGCAGAAATCTTCAGCATAGGATACAGAAACATTTATAACAAGGACATAGATCTTTTTGTTGGGGAAAGGGGAACAACTATAGCAAGCGAGAGGATAATAAGTGATTTGATCATATATTTTGTTCCCTTGACCAAGAGAAATATCTTTGGAACATCAGGATGGGTTCTCTGAGTCCTTAATGGAGTCCCATAATCTTAAAGTTAGAAGTTTAACCTGAAGCTCATCTAGCTTAATATAATACTTTTGTAATTTGAGGATAAGTGATGTTTTTCAAAGACACATGACTTACAAGTGGTTTGACAGAAACAGATGTCTTGTTATAGACAAAGTCCAGCATGGTATAGCATTATCACTAGCATCTTCTCTGAAACATATTTAGAATTTATTTTGTTCTAGGTACTATTCTAAGTATTATATATATATATCTTATTCTGTTTAATCTTCATAATTATCTTATGAAATAGATGACACTATTCTCATTTTTTCAGATAAAGAAGCTAAGAATTAAAGAGGTATATCAACCAGGGTTAAATTGTGGTAGCAAACAAATCACAAAATTAACGTAACCAAATTTATTTCTGTCTCATGCTACATGTCTAGCCAGGTCAGCATGAGGACTTTGCTAATTGTAGCACTTCTGGGCTGATGGAACAGCCACTATCTTGAATGCTGTTGGTCACTGTATCAGAGTGACAAGAGGGAATTCTGGAGAGCCTTTTGTAGGGCATTAAATGGTACAGCCCAGAAATTACATATAGCATATTTTCTCACAACTCATTGCCTGGAACTAGTCACACAGCACCACTCAATCTCAGGAAGGACAGAGGACTCAGTCCTCTGGGTTCCAGGAGCAGAGGAAAACTGAACATCTCTTTAACAAGATCATATAGCTGCCCAGTTGTGGAGCCAAGTTTGAAACCAAAGACTCCAGAGATCAGGCTTCTAACCCTGAGACTATTCTACCTCCCAATAAGGTTTCTAGAAAATCAGCCAAGCAGGGAAATCATTGTCTCTGGATATTTCTGGGTCTCCATGATAAGTTCTGTGAGTGAGAAAGAATCCTATACTCCCAGGCAGTGGATGAGTGTCTCCTAGAAAGAGAGGTCACCCTCTGAAGACTATATTTTGTTAAATGACAGCATGAGAAGGATATTAATTAACATTCACAGTAATGGCCTTGGCTAACACTTCCTTGTCTCCTAAACTCCCAACAATTTAGAGTAGTTTGAGTATTACTCATCAATAACTGAGGATAGCTATTCCTAGGAAAATGGTTATATTTTCAAAGTAACCTATGCTTTGATCTGGTGTATTATTTGAAACCAGATGTATCTGTTACATTGATGGTTTCTGTTGAAAGGGTAAGAAAATCATTGAGAATTGAAGAGAAACCAATAATTCAATTCTTTTAGACCTCTGAGTGGGCATTAGATGGTAATAATTTTCAGTCCTTTCTTCTGTGGGCTGCATTTGAAGGATGGGCTGTATAGAGGATTCTATGAGATTTCTTTCTCCTCTAAAAGGAGAAAGATTAGTTGCCTCCTCATATGATTAAATCTTGAAAGCACATATTTACTTAAGAGGAAGCCCTTGTCTTCCTATATTGGCACACAATGTATCAAGGAGTGTATCACTAATCAGGGACTGCAGCCAGATCAAAAAGACAGTCCCTCAACTGACCAAAAAGGTGATGGCACTCCAGGAATAGTTTACAGAATTACTGGCCCCCAATTCCTAAATACTTCATAGTATTCCATAGACATGTAATCCTTGCCTTGGTTTTAAGATGGATGTGATCTGTTAATCATGATTGCTAACTTGACTGGATTAAGAGATGCCTGCCAGATTAATAAGGCACACATCAAGGTTTGTTTGAATATGTCATGGAAGTGTGACCTTGGGTAATATCTGTGGTCCCTAGTGCCTTCTTTTCTGATGCTATTCCCCTGCTTTGCTTCTCAGCTGCCATGAACTGAGCAGCTTTGCTCCACTATGCCCTTCTGGCATGATGTTCTTGCCTTGGAGCCAGCTTACCATGGACTGAATCCATTGAAACTGTGAGCCAAGTTAAACTTTTCCTCTTTTAAATTGTGCATTTTGGGTACTGTGTCACAGCAATGGGAAAGCTGGCCAACACATTTGGCAAAGAGTCTACTTTTGACTTTTAGGCTTGGCCATATGACTCGGCTAGCTGTTTGGATATTATTAAATTCAATGTGAGTACATGTTTACAATGTACCTGCATGGTTGTGCTTACCCCTTTACCTGCCCCTTGCCTTTTCTCATGAGAAGAATATGCTTCAGATAGTTATTGTTCCAAGAAAGATGAAAAATATCTGGAGCAAATGGGACTGAACCCATAGATCCGCCAAACCACAGCTACCTATGGACTCATGAGTGAGAAACCAAAGCTTGTTGTTATTTTTCACTAAGTTTAGTATGCTTTGCTCTACCACAAAATTAAAACATAATAGGGCTCTAAAATGCATTTATCAAAAATTTCAATACTTGAAAGTCAGAATAAATAAATCTTAGAACTGATGTATCTTTGGATCCAACCCTTTTTAAGAAAATAGAAATTCAATTTACACTATGTGCCATCTACTTTAAAACTCTAGGGACTATACTGTCTCAGGTTGGTTATTCCATTGTGGTATCAGACAAATTTTTGACATTTGTGTTTGATTCTGGAACATGGTCCACTCCAATATTGGCTTTATGCCCCTGAAACTCCTTGTTATGATTTCTGGAGAATTCCCAAGGGTTTATGAGTGGGCTTTCAGTTCACTTATTTAAAAAATGAGAAGCATTTTCAAACACCTATTTTATGAATAATATGACCTAGGTATTTTAAATAAATTATCTAATTTATTTCTCAATCTTAAAATTTATTTAACAAGGATGTTGACATTGAAGCTCAGAAAGGTTAAGTGATTTATCCAAGGTCACACAGCCACATAGCCAGTAAGTAGCAAAGCTGGGATTCCTACCGACGTCTGTCTGAATTTAATACAGTTATTGTTTATCGACTGTGAAGCTCATCTATTAATTTCTCAGATCTTCAGAAAAACGTAGCTACAATCCTGATGTGAGTTGCATGACTATGAAGTTTAGAAATGGTGGCAGACCCTGGAATGTAATTATGAGAGGCAGGAACCCAATAAATGGCCTTGAGCCTAGCTTATCACTAGGAATCTTTTGTTTTTTTGGTATTTTTTTTTGTACCGGGGATCGAACTCAGGACCTTGCGCTTCCGAGGCAGGCATGGTGCTACTGGGCTAAATCCTTGCCCTATCACTAGGAATCTTACTTCTTCATGTGCTGCATACCAAGATGAATACTTTATTTTCTGTGAGCCCCAGGATACTTTGCAGCAGAGCCTGGTATTGCCCCTTACATTATACAATCCATCAAGTTTTGAGTGGAACATGGCATCAAAGGAAAGTATCAGCGCCACCTGGTGGACTTTAAACTTTTAAAAACATTTCTACCTCTGCTATTTTCAACTCATGTCTTTCTTGCTGGAAGTATACTTTACCTTTTTTGTGTTTGTTTTTTTTAAAGGACAATTCTTTACCCTCTATGGCCTTAGTAACTAATTATAATTATGGAACAGAGGCATTTACACACTTATCTCCTTTCTTAGATTTGAATACTTTTGCAGACACAAAAGGACTCTACTTTGATGATCATTTTCTTAGCCAACATTTGTTGAGTATTTACTTTGGTCCAGGCACAGTTCTAAAAGACTTACTGTACTTCTATAAACTCATTTAATTTTCATGAGAGATAGATTACTATATTCACAGTTTATAAACGAGACAACGGAGATCCATCTCAACCAAGGTCTGCAAACATCCTTTTCAGATACAAGGCCCTTAATCCCATTTGCATTCATGCATTCTAGGCCTAAAGTGGCAGAGGGAGATGCAGGGAAATCAGTCCAGACACTCAGATTCTTGGCTGTCTCAAGATTGACTGCTACTCGGCGCTGGCTGCAGTCGCACTGTTCAAAAGTCTCTCTCTTGAACTATGGGGTCAGTTGGATTTATTTTCCACTGAAAAAGCACAGTTCCAGGGTTGGGAATGGGGACTGGAAGGTATGTACTTATATTTTCTTGACTGCTTAGTTCCATCTAACTTCTAATACCTTTTGTTCTTAGAGAAGAGCAAAATTAATTCCCTGGCATCCTTTACTATGAAGCTCTGAGACATTAGGGAGCATGTTTTGACCTAAGTTCCACAGTGCCACTCAATAAGCAGGTGGCCCTTATCTGACAGCCAAGTGAAGCAGAGAAATCACTTGGCTGGCTTGGCTGGTTCTGCCTGGATGAGTCACAATAATCAGGATGCCCTTCTCCATGGAGCTCGGACCTCAGCCCTGCTCCACAGGTAAAACACTTCCAAACAGCAGGAAAATGGAAACCCTTATGCCACACAGTGAGTTCTCTTTTCAAGGAGAAAGAGTATAAAAGGATACACACAGTTCCCTCAAATTAGCCCAGAGTGTGAGACGGGTGAGGACAAGCTGTTCTTTGTTTAGAAATGGAACCAGCACTGGGATGGTCGAAAGAACACTGGACTGAGATCCAGAGAAATTTGGTGACCTCACCTCTACTGACTTGCTGTGTTGACCTTAGACAAGTAGTTTAACCTTTCTAAACTTCATTTTCCTTATCTTTACAGGGATGGGTGTGTTTGCTAGACTAAGATCTCTAGTTGGAAAATACGGGAGGCTTCTGTGACTTGACAAATGCAAAACTGTGCCTGCAAGGAATGAGAAGGGCAGGCCAGCAGCCTCTAGACTTTCTTTCTCCTTGTGCCGATCTTCTAGGCAGATCTATGCAGAATTCTTTTCTGGGGTAGGACATGCATGCTGGGGAGGGTGTTGGCCAGTCCTGGGGAGTTTCTGATGTTTTTAGAAACTATTTTGGACAGATGGCATCAGATACCAGATAGAGGCATGACCCAAAGAGCCCCTAACTATGTTCCTTCCTAGCCAGCCCAGACCTACTCATCTCTGCCTAAATGGGTGATGCTCCTACAGAAATGAAAAACAGCCCATATTAGTACTGTTTGTACAAATTAATGATCCAATGAAATAATTTATTTAGCTTGTCCAGTGTTCCCTCAGTAGAGGATTAAAAAACTTCAAGTACAGGCTAATTATGGTGCAATTATTAAAATAATCCATGCAACTTCAGCAAAGGAGGCACAGTGTGCCTCAGGCATGAAGGTCTTTTTATCGAATGTTTCATCTTGACTTTGTGATTGGTTGCCTATTTCTAGCTGCTAATGATTGTCACTCCAGCTCCTGAATTTCATTAAAGACCCTTCTGTTCTGGTGTCTGTGAATGAAGGAATGGTTCTTTGGATACCATCTTATCAGCCCCGAGGCAGGAATCAGAGCTGGCCGATGATAATTGTATTTCTTAATCCAACATGTGCATGCTTCACTGAGCAGGCTCTGTCTCATATCATTTTCCAGAAGATCAGGCATTTCTCTTTCTTATTTTTAAAAACATAACACACTGTTATTCTCAACAATATCCAGTTTACTTACTACTTTAGTGAACATGCATTGAGCAACTAAAAGTGCATTGTCCTATATTAGTTAAAGCAGATGAAAGTGAGTCCTTCAGCATGGACAGACAGTTCTGCATGATCCAGGGATCTAGGCTCGTTGCTCAAGATGTGTTGGAGAAGTGGGACCAAATGTGGGCTCCAGAGAGGGTGGAGGTGAAACACTAAAGAATTCTACTTCAAGAGGCCCTCAAAATGGGTTCCATCAAGACCCCTTTCCTCTTTTTACCATCCCAATTCAAGACTGAGATACCAGTGGCCTGAAAGGAATTTGAGGATTCCACATGTTAACATGAAGATGATCAAAATGCCTGTTAAAGGAGGGTGTGGTGACAGACCGGACATACAGCTTGTATTCCTAGCACCCTAGGAGACTGAGGCAGGATTGCCAAGTTCAAGCTCAGGCTGGGCAACTTAGTGATTTTGTGAGACCCTTTCTCAAAGTAAGAAAAATGCTAGAGATGTAACTCAGTATGAAGGCTCAATCTTCAAACCATAACAACAGCAACAACAACAAATTCATAAAGCATGATTAGGTGGGCCCTGACTCTTTTTCTGATCTGTTTTCCACACTGCAGCCTGCATGATTCTCTTGAAATATGATCACTTAACTCCTCTACTTAAAATCTATCTATGGTGTTCCCGAGTTTATCCTGTTATAAGCTCTTATAGGACCCTCTATTTTCTCTCCATATAAATTATCACTTTAATTTGTATCTCCCATTAGGGTGGTCACCACTGAGTCCTAATATTGGATGCTCTGTAAATATTGCTTCATTGAATAATTGAGTGGATACAATAAGTGAATAGCGTGAGGGCTATATTCTTAAAGAAGTTTCTCTGGGATTCCAGTACTCAGTGGTATTCTTAACATATTAAGAGAGTCTTGGAAGTAGTGACATCTGCAACTTAAAAGTGAATTTGGTATTTGTATTTAAGATGGTCTTGCTTTGGGAATGGGTTCCATTAACAGAATCCCAAGATTCCATAAACTTTAGCAACAACATTCAAGGAAGGGTTGCCCAGGCACTCAGTGACAGCCAAACTGGGAGCCAGTTCCCTGATGAACTGGGCCTGCCATGAAATACACCAGGGGAGATAGACGAAGTACCATTATCTGTTTTGTCCCTTGGAGACTTGCTTTAATGATTTTAATATTGCTGTATGTAGTGTTTCCTAAATTAGTTTTATGGAAAACATTTTCTCCCATTTAACTTAAGGGAAAAGTAGGCAAGAAGGGCAATCCAGTCAGTGATCCAATGACTTGTGGATGGTACTTTAGGGAAAATGTCTTTCCCCTGAGCGTGGTTAGAATAGCCAGGCCTTAGAAGGCCTCATCTTTCTTGAGTAAGAATCTGTCACTGCTCTGGAAGGTGAGGGGAGCAGGTCCTTCAGGAGGCCATCAACTGAAGGCTCTCTGACTGCAGAAGGCCAGCTGCAGTGCAAATGAGGACAGTGGACACTGGCCAAGGAAACATTCTAGCATTCTAACTTCAGAAGACCCAAGATCCCTTCATTATTATCTCCTCAAATTAGCCCAATTTGAGTGTGTCATCTGTTTCTTGTTGGGAATCATCCCCTCTTTACAGAATAAGATGCTGTATTTAGGGAGGATAAATTGTTCAAGGCCAAATTAAACCATTGAGTAAATGAGACAATTGATATGAAACCCAGGCAGTCTTGCTCCAGAGCTGGCTGCCTGGGTGCCTATGCCAGCTGGCCAGGGTACATTCTATGGAGGCTGGGGTTCACCTAAGGCTGTAGCTGAGTGGGAGGGGATGCAGAAAACAGGGCCACATCATATGCGTAGAAGCTGAATACACAGTAGGGGAGAAAAAATACCCCCCAACAAAGACCACATTCTTTTAAAAAATTTATTAATGCATATTTTCAGTACATGCATTTTACAATCATCATGAGAGTTGGTACAAGTGCATAACACAGCTCATTTCTTTTTTATTAATCCCCTTCCCTCTCCCTCCCTTTCCCCTCCTCCTCTAGTTCCCCTTTCCCCTTTTTCATTCTGGGTGATATTATTACTCTTAGTTCATGTTTATGGCATGTAATGTCCATGTTCATTAAGGTTATTAGGACCTTGTACCAGACATATCTTCACTCTACCTATTTTCCCATCTCCTCTCCCTCACCCCTCACCCTGGGTCCCCTGGACCCCTTCCCATCTGCAAGAGATTCATCTCTGTGTATCCTTCTCTCCTTTCTTTACTTTTCTCTTAGTTTGTACTTTGCCTTACTCAGATGAGAGACACAATATGCTATTTAAATTTGTGTGTCTGATTTATTTCACTCAGCATTATATTTTCTATGTACCTCAATTTTCCTACAAATAAAGACCACATTCTTATCCCTCAAACCTTAGGCTATTGTGTCTTAGATGGGAAAAGGAACTTTGTAGATGGGAAATTATCTTAGATTGGAGGTGAGCCCAGTTTACTCACAAGAATTCTTAAAAGCAGAGGATTTTCCTTCTTGTAGTCAGAGAGAGATGTGATGATAGAAAAAGGATCAGAGACAGCGTTTTGACACTTTTGAAGATGGAGGAAGTGACCACAAGCCAATGAATGTAGGCAGCTTCTAGAAGGGCAAGGAGACAGATTCTCCCTGAGAGCCTCCAGAAAGATACATGGTCCTGCTAACATGTTGATTTTGGCCCAGTAAGACCTATTTCAGATTTTTGGCTCTTGGAACTATGAAATAATAAATTTATTTATTAAACTTTATTTTTATTAAGCTACTAAGCTTATTGTAATTAGTTGCAGCCACAGTAAAAAATATAGACCCATAGTGATCCTACTACCACTAATAAATGTTTGACTAATCAATATCGCATTTTTTCCAAAATAGACCTTAACGTTTCCCTCCTACACAGGAAGTGGGTGGGCTTCTGCACACTGCTCTTGTTCGTTCTGATCTGTTTACTGGTCAAACCAGCTGCCAACCAGGAACTGTGGCAGCTTCTTGGGGAAGCTGTCTGTCTGTCTCTAACTGAACTGCTTACATGGCATTGTCAAAGCTCCCTCTTGATCTACCTGAGACCAATTACATGGGTGGCTCAGAGGGTCTTTCTAGGAGCTTCTTAAATTAATCACAGCAGCACCACATTCCACAGAGGCAAAAACAAAGATAAGTTTTATTGTTCAGCTCAAATTTTACGTAGCCACATTTTCCAGTCTATCACACCAGAGAGAAATGTACATGAAATGCTACATGGCAACGCAGCCCAAATAATTCAGCCAGCACTGGAAAATACTCCAAATTTGTATGTGAGGCTTTTTACATTGTGTTTCTACAGAACTATTCAAGTCCTAACATGGGTATCACCTTGCCCTTACTGCTGCAGAGAGGGCAATATACTTACTTTCACAGAAAACTAAGTTCATCAACTGTCCTAGAATATTATTAATTTTTTCCTTTTAGGAGAAATGAGGAACATAAAACCTTGTCTGCCCTCTGACCCCAAGAGTCACTGGACTCTAAAATCACTCATCCTTTCCTGCTTCCCTCTTTTCTGACCCTTAAACCCCTTCCCCTATCCCAAACTGCACAACTGAACCAAAACAAGTGGAGCAAATGCAAAGGTTTGGGGTAATTTATGTTAATGATCTCTGCAAAACCTGCTGTGGTTTCCTACAGCTACAAAATAAATGCCAAACTTCCTACTGTGGAATTCAAGGTCTTCTATCAAACTCTTTCTAAACCTTCTGCCCAAGGACACAATCATCTGCAGAAGCCCCTGCATCCTCCCTCACTCCTCATGAGTTTCCTCCACCCCTTGCAAACCCACCTTGTACTTGTCACACTGCCAGGCCCTGCTCAAAAGCTACCACTTCTGGGAAAACTCCTCAGGATACTTCCTGTACATGCATCCATATGTATTATGAAAGTCTGTATTTTTTTATTCCCCATTTCCATTCAAGGATGTGAAACAAGAACCAGAATAGAGTGTTTCTTCCTTTGCTCCAGTGATAACTTCCTCTACTGAGGGCTGATGTCATACTCAGTGTCTCCGAGGTTGTCTTTTTTCTCAGAATGTGGGTTTCTGGAAGGAACGCATAGTTTGTATCTCAGAAGCATCCCTGGTTCTCTGCAGCTGGCTGCCTTGAATGGAAATAGAGAACTGAGAGGCTCACATACATTCTTTTAAGGATATTTCAGGGAAATGAAATGGTTACAGTCTCCCCGAGTTCCTGAGAGAAGAGCATTTCCAGATGGAGCAACGAGGGCCAGAACAAACTCCCTCAGTGTTTGGAAAAGACTTTATACCAGGGCGTAATAGCTGTAATATCTGTAATCTTAGCTACTCAGGAGGTTGAAGAAGGAGGAGCCCAAGTTTGAGGCCCTTCTGGGCAATTTAGTGAGACTCTGTCTCAAAAAATAAAAAGTGCTGAGGATATAGCTCAGGAGTAGAGTGTGTGCCTAGCACACACAAGGTCCTGGGTTCAATCTCCTGTATTAAAAAAAAAAAAGCTCCCAGAATTAAAAGGTGGTGGGCAGCTGAGACCAAGTCATCCCCACATAACCCTTTCCTTTCACTCTGGACTCACGTTTACTGACCCATTCTCTGTGAGTTCCTCAGCCTGCCTGCACCTCGAGGCCACTCCTAGCCTGGGCCCTGTGGCACTCTGGACCGAGAGAGCTGGAAGTGGCACCCCTTGTTTGTGCCACCCATCTGGCTGGGGTGAACAACGGCCATCCTCCTTCCCTCTGATGGCAGCTCCTGCTGGCCTCTCCTCAGCACAGCTGCCCATGATTTTGTGCACTTAGGGTTCCCTCTGTCCTCCTGAACCTGCCTGAGCCCCATTCTTTTCACTGTCCCCCTGACGATGGCAGCCTCGCTGCACCTGAATGTACCATTTTCTCTTCCCCTGGGTGCTTTCCTCTTTGGTTATGTCATTCTTCATGTTTGAATCCCAAACTGCTCCAATGAGCACACGAGAGTCACCCCAGGGGAGAGGGAGACTGAGATAAATTACAGCATGGGAACCCTCCCCCATTCTATATGGGCAAAATCAGGTAGAAATGAGTATCAAGGTTGGTCCTGAAGGAGAAATGGACAATCATCACTTCTTCCAAACACATTATTTGCTAGGGGCCGGGAAACCAGACAGGCAGGGTCTTTCTGTCCACACTCATGTGTTAGCAGAGAAACCCCTTGGAGATTTTAAATGAGTCTAAAGAAGGAGAACAGTCCCCAAGGAGCCTGCATGGAAGGAAGTGCAGGACAAGGATGCCACCAAGTAAAGCCTTACCTGAGCCCCTGCCTAGCAATAACCCAAGGTCCTGCTGGACCCTGCGGGGCAAGCCCAGGACCACCCCTGTTTTATGAAGCCCTAGGATAGTAGCAAATATGTCCTTTTTGGTTTCATGGCTCTTGTCTTCCTGCTGGCATTTAAAGCTGCCCTAACCATACCAGCCCATGCTCTGTAGCTTCCAGGGACGCATCTCCAAGTGACAGCAGTGTGCTGTTCCTGCTCTGTAATGGTGGCCCGAGCCTACTGTCTCATCAGAAGAGTCTGGATCTCCCTCTCATGGCATTTCCCACCATCCTCTCTAAGCAAGTATCAAGCTTGGGTCTTTCTTAATTGGCTGGTGTCTCCCCTGTCTGGCTCTTTGGCTAAGAAATAAAGGTGCCTTTGTTCATTCAGGCTGCTGCTATAGCCATAACAAAATACTTTAGACTAGGTAATTTATAAAAGTAGCAATTTAATGCTTACAGTTCTGGAGAGTGGGAAGTCTAAGATGAAGTCACTGGCAGATGGTACTTCTCTGTGTCCTCAGGAGGGGCAGACAGGCTCACTCAAGTTTCTTTTACTACAAAAGCACTAATGTTATTCATGACGACAGAACCCTTATGATCTAATCACCTTCAAAAGCCCCACTTTGGGCATTAGGTTTCAACTTATGAGTTTTGGGGAGATACAAACATTCTGAGCATAGCAAGTGGTTCATTTTATTCTCTTCTTTATGTTCTATAATATTTTCCCAAATCTCTAATATCCATAAACTAGTTTTTATTGATTTTAAAGGCTAATCATGTATTTCTAAACTTTAAGTGAGTATGCAGTATCTGGCATAGTTATTTACTCCTCAACCAATCTTCACTCCTCTGTCTTTCAAAATCAATTTTAGGTTCTCCTCTATGTGAAGAGGATGAGTTGATACAGAAGATTTTACCATTCCTTTCAACAGTGTGTGACAGGATCATCCTTTGTGCAGGTCTCTGCTGAAGCTTTAGGGGACAGCAGCTGGGACAGGAGAGCCACACTTTCAAAACAGTATCACCAAAAATCACGTCCAACTTAACAGGCCCCATTTTGTATAGGTTTCCAACTCCACGGAAAATGAATGTTTTATTAACCAGACTAATAAGGCTCCCTAGAGCAGCCCTATTTTTGCTGCCTGCTATAGCTTGGATGTGATTTGAGTGTGTCTCCTGAAGGTTCATGTGTTGGAAGCTTGGTCTTCAGTGTGACCAGGTTGAGAGGTGGTGGAACCCTTAAGAGGTAGAATCTAGTGGAAGGTGATTAGGTCACTGAGAGCACTCAGAAAGGATCCATATGGCTCTTGTAGAACCTCAGTTCCTGCAAGAGGGGGTTTTTATAAAAAGATTAAGCCTGTCTCCTGAATCCTCTCTGGCTTCCTGTCTCACCGTGTGATCCTGCTCACACGCTCCAGCTTTAGGATTCCATCTGCCATGAGGCCCTCACCAGAAACTTGCACCATGCTCTTCAGCCTCCAAAGCCATGAGCTAAATAAAATGTTTTCCTTTATATGTAAGCTAACCTCAGGTATTTTGTTATAGCAACATAAAATAGATACACTGCCTTCTGATACTTATACACTGCCTTATGTCCCTTAACACAGTAGAATAAGCGGTAGGACTTTCCTGCCCACAGATAGTATTTTGTCACATGGAGGCTCATATTTGCCTGGAGGAAGGATGAATTTCACCAACTTAGGAAAAGGTGTCTTTAAATTTCTAAGTCCTTTGCCTCCTGCTCCTGAAATCATAGACCAAAAGAGAAAATTTTTCATCAAGAAAATGTGATTTAATAAAGCGTGTATCTATCTGGTTTAATTCCAATTTTTAATCTGACTAAGAAGGAGCTTGAGCAACCCCAGGAAGCATTTGATGGTCTGTAGGCCACATGCAGAAAATCAGTGGGATAAATACCAATAACTGAAAATAAACTCTGCACACTCCTTGGGAGTGTGGCAGGGTCATTTTCCAATTACTTCTGTTAATCACATAGATTGAATGGCTTTTGCAGCTCATCTCCCTGCAGCTCTTCCGCAATAAGAAGGCAAGTGAGCTTGAGGTGAGGTTGCAGGCCAGTGGGTAGGGCCCAGGAGAGCCCCTGGGTGAAAAGGCCCCAGCTAGGGGGAGATGGCATGGTGTCTTATTGCCTGCCAGTCGTTGAGCTGGCCACCATCTGTTTATATTTAGATGATGATGTTGCCTTTCGTGGGGAGAAGCAGAACAATCTGACAAACCACTGGATTTGAAACACTGACCACGATAATTTGGAAGGCATGTGTTTCCCCCACCTGAGGAGAGAGGGTTCTACAGGAAACTAAGCAACTTGGGAAAGGAGTGAGGACCAATTCCAGAGCTGAACCACATTTGAAGGACCAATGCCTCACATGTAACTTGTGCAGTGGTGGTTCTCCTACTTTGCAGGAACTCCTGAGTCAGTTGTATTCTTATTACAATTGTGTATCTCCTTGTTATGGGTTGATTGTGTCCCCTTAAATTTGTATACTGGAGTCCTAACCCCTGGTATCTTAACCGTGACCTTATTTGCAGATAGGATCTTTACAGAGGGAACCATGTTAAAGTGAAGTCATTAGTGTGGACCCTCATCCATTATGACTGGTGTCCTTACACAAAGGGGCAATTTGAACCCAGAGACAGATTGCGTGCAGGACAGATGACGTGAAGACACAGGAAGAAGATGGTCATATGTTTAGATGTTCCCCCAAAGCCGATGAGGTGGGACTTTCTTTTTCAGAGGTAGTTTAATCTGGAATGTGTAATGCTGGGGTTAAGGGAGTGTGATTACTAAGCTACTACATGCGATGATTAGTTTGGCACCACCCTAATCCCTGGTAGTCTGAATAAAATAGAAGGGGCAGAAAGATGCTGCTGACTCTCTTGTTACCTTTGTTGCCTTGTGTGCACCCTGTTGTTTCTGCTCTGCCATGCCTGTTTGTCATCCCTGTCTTGGAGTTGGCTGATTATGGACTACAACCTCTATGAACTGTAAGCCAAATAAACCCCTTCCCTTCTAACTTTGGGTGTTGGGTATTTTCTCTCAGCAATGAGAGAGAAAGGTAACTAACACAGTCATCTATAAACCAAGGAAAGAGACATGGAACAGATCCAATTCCTGCAAAGGCACCAACCTGCCAACCCTGACTTTGGATTTCTAGCCTCTAGAACATCAGACCCTAAATTTTGGTGGTTATGTAAGTACCATATGCTAACTGATTGCTCCACTGGAGCTCCAAATTTTGGTTGTTTAAGCCATCTAATTTGTGATACTGTTAGGGCAGGCCTAGCATATGTCTACATTCTTGGAATGATTTTACAGATTGTAAAAATGAAGTTTTTGTCTAACACACAATGAAAACTATTTCCTTTCATCTTCCTTTCTGCCCTCTCTCTCATTCCCTCCCCTCTCTATGTGCATGCACATGTGCACACATACTCACACACTCGGGAGATGATGCCTAATTATTTCCAAATTAGCATTCCTTGTACCAAATTGAATTATTACACACTGTCCAATTCCCAAGCCCCACAGCATACCCTACAAGCTCTAGCTTTCTGAAAGCCAACACCATGTCTAATGTGAGGAAGTGCGAGCAAACACTGGACTCATAGCTCAGAGCAAAACTATGGGGCTCCCAAAGTAGGTGTGGGGTGAAGGTATCATCTCAAAAGCCCTCTGCATACCTTTCCTTCTTGCGGTCATAAAGACATCATGTCCCCTCTGCAGGTCTCAGTCTCCTCATAAATGGATTGAATGTGCTCCATCATGGAAAAAACAAAATTTCAGATGTTTAAAACTGAAGTTTCTCAATGCCCTGAAACCTAAGTGCCTTGGTGAGTGCTATTTGTGTTTCCGGGCATTTCTAGTTCAGTTCTGCCCAGCACTCCTCCCCTCCTGCCGACAAGTAAATGGTGATTCCCTAAAGGGGGTTATGGGGGTGTGAGTTGCCTATCCTGTGGCCTCAGCCTCTCAGCCACTTACCCTTCCAGCTTCTCCAGATTGTCACAGGGTTCCGATGACACATATATGACAGCTTTTTCAAGAACTAGGGGTAGGGGTTGCACTTGGCCCAGCTCCCAGGCCCACTTGCCCCTGCAGGGAAGTGGAGGTCAGCATGAGCCTTGGGGTGGGATCCTGGCTTCGCATCACTCAGCCCTATGGAGAAGGACAGCACCACTCAAATGAGGAGTGAATTCCCCCAAATGTCCTTTGTGACACACCATCACCAGGGACTCCTTTTGGACACCTATTACATGCTGGCTTCAGACATTCTCCTAGAGTGTCAGTACTCGGGCACTGGGAGGTAGGAATTTTAGAGGAGGGGGTGGGTGAGATGGAAAAAGCCCTGCATAACATGCACTGTGACAACATATGCACAGTGGAGGGAAGGGACCAATTCCATCTGATAACAGCTTCTGACAGCTAAAAAGCCTTTGTCAACAGGTACCTCACTTTGGAATGTGGACATCTGACGGGAATGGAAATCTGGTTTTGTGCGTGCATGCGTATGCGTATGTGTGTGTGTGTGTGCGCGCGTGGGCTCGTTACCTTGCTGTGTTGGAAATAAAACTGTCAGTGGGCGTTTAAAGTATTCTAGATCCCCTGGCAAGGAGGAAACAGATTGCTGGCCTCCTCAAGGTCACAGTCATGGTGAGGAGGGCCCTTCCCTGCCTTCTGCAGCACACAGTGTAAGGGCTCAGAAGGAGACCAGACCAAAGCACTTCAGGGCTTGAGCCCCCAACTCCAGCTGAAGAGCAGATAGTGCACAGATCCAGGGCCAAGGTGAGTGGTTGGGAAAGACATGATTTTCACCTGGAAAGTATAAATGGGGGAAGTGTAGCTGTGGGTGCTGTATCCAAAGACAGAAGGGAGAAGGCTAAAGATCTGGCCCCAGAGTGGATAAGCATTTGCAGAAGCAGGCATGACAACCATCTTCATTGGATGCCACTGACATGCCAATTCAGAAGCCCCCTCACCCAGCCTCTGCCAGGCTGCTGTCCTGCCCTGTAACTTGGGCAGGAGTGGACTGCTTTCTCAACTGTGTTTATAGAGTGTCCAAGGCACAGGGAGAAAGCATCAATGAAGCACTTCATTTCACGTGACCTCGTGATATTTCTACTTCCTCATAAATGATCACTTACTGTGAATGCCAGACTGGTTACTATGCATCTTCTAAGCATGTCCCATCCCAAGGTTGGATTGATGAGGTGGGGGCAAGAATCAGGCCCGAGACCCTCATGGGATGGACCCAAAAAGACAGTCTAGCCCCTCACAGTGAGACTGTAGGGTGGAAAGCTCACTTCTGTGCTGTCATAAAGGTGAATCTCATATCATGGTGTGTGGTGGGGAGAGTTTTGAGACTTTCAGGTGTGACATGTCAGTCTTGACCCTAAATAGCTGAAAACCCTGGGCTCTGTGCCTCAGTTTCCACCTGCCGAAGGAAAGGGAACACCTTCTAAAAACCTGTCCACCTCCTGGAGTCTCAACAACTCCCCCCCCGCCCCCCACTCCAAAATACACCTTGCCATATCTCCTCAGCACTGCTTGTGCCCAAGGAAGGCTTTTCCTAGATGCTTGTGTCTTGTGTCAGAGCCTCTACTTTCCCCATGTTGGAAAGGAGAGAAGCTCCCCTGATAGTGAGAAATTGGCCTCTGCTTCTTCCTTTAATGATCTAGGTACTTGAAGGGGGCCTGGCTCATTTCTGCTTCCTGCCCCAGAGTCTTAGTCACTTTCTCTTGCTGGGACAAAATACCTGACATCTGCGATTTAAAGGAGGACAAATTTATTCTGGCTCACGTTTCAGTCCATAGCTGGTGGCCCCAAGGCAGGACGGCCTGGCACAGCGGCATGGCAGAAGAATAGCCGCTCGCTTCATGGCGGCCTTGAAGCAGAGAGAATAAAGGAAGGAGCTGGGAAGGGCCCCCAGTGACCCACCTTTTCAGATCAGACCCCACCTCCTAACAGCAAGTCAGCTATAGAGCCCCCCTCCCATCCAAGCATCTTTCAAAAACCCCACCTATGCGTGCATGAGGCTTTGGAAGGACATCTATAAACCACAACATCTAGGGTAAAAGGAAGCAATATTCTGCCCATGGGTGAGGCTCAGGTTTCTGGCAGTGAGGAAGTTTCTCCACTCTGGGGTTCCAAATAAAGACATCTGGTGGCGCTGTTCTCCATGTTTCTGACAGGCCAATGGGTAATAAAGGTGACATTCTGCTCTCCATCTGCCTCATTCCTCTCTCTTTCTCACTGGTTCCAAATTCAGATGGGAACTAGGGGTGTTATTAAATGGACTATCTAAAAATCATAACCCTAGTCATTGAGCTCACACCATGAAGGCAAACCTACCACCTGGATTGAAATGTTGCCAACTCTGTCTTCTCTGGCAAAGCATTCAGGACTCCAAAAACCTCTCCACTTTGCATGCCATCTGGAGCCCACAGGAGCTTAGTTCAAGTTGTTCTCAAGGAGACCTGGCTCTGGTGGCAGGCCACAGTGTCTGTCAGATGGTTTCCTCAGGCAAGGTGAAGCTCAGGGGTCTCAAACTGTACCTCCTAAGTAACTCAAGCTGAACCTTGTCTAGCCAGACACAGAGCTAGGAGTCCCTCTGGTTAAATAATTCATGGGCTACCTCTGGGGGTGTAAACATACCTCTGTCTAATGCCATCTGACTGGTGATTTCATGCATCATTTAACTCTTCCCAGTGCCCAGGAATGCAACAGAGATTAGATAATTGGAATAATTTCACTTCTGTAAACTGCTTTGTTTTCTAAGGAAAAAAATATTGCAAACTTGAACTATAAAAGAAGGATTCTTCTGGTTTGTCCATGGAGAAAAACAAAATCAAGCATTCATGACAATAGTGAATTGAGCACGCCATCTCCTCCTCTCCTCCCTGCAGTGTGATTGGCCCTGAAGAAAGATGCCCAAGGCCAGTGGGAGATGCCACCTGAACTGCATTCTGAAGAAAGAGCCTGCAAGTAGTGAAGGAAATGGAGGGAGAGGAAGAGAGAGACAGACAGACAGACAGACACACATACACACACAGTGACACACAGAGAGAGAAAAAGAATCATACCCTTTGATTTTGGAAGCCCCAGGAAAGGCAGTCCCTGCCTGATACCAAGAGAAATACAGTTATGGCTTCGTGGCTTCTGGGCTGCCCTCCCAGGGACAATCGCCTCTAGTAAATATTTCCTTGAATTTAATCCTTTATAATAAAAATTTAGATGGCCTCACATTTATTTCCATATTACAAATGAAATCCTAATGCTTCGTCTCTTCTTTAACTGCTACTCTCCATGAGGAGCAAACAGCTCACTTTTTTTTTTTTTTTGAATAATGGGGTAGTTTTAAGCCTTGTGACAATTTACAATAGGAGGCCAGTGAAGATGCTATGGGAAAATGTAACAAGTGGACCCATTCCTCACCTTGAGTCTTCCTGACCCTTGCCTTTGGCCAGGCTGCCTTCTCTGTGTCTAGCAGAATGCTGGGTGAGTCTGCTGCCATGATCCTGTCCCTCTGTGGACTGACCTTGCAGATATGCTCAGCAGAAAGCCCCCACAAGACTGGGCCAGCAGTCTTATCTGCATTGTCAATGATTAGTTAATTAATTAACGCAGAAGAGGCCCTGCTCCAAGGCACCCTGCAGCCCACTGAGCTTTGGAAAGAGCACTTATTGACAGAAAGTTGCACTTGTTTGGGAAAATCAGGCACACCTCAAACTTTTAAAATGTCATCTCAGAAAACTACATCCCTCGCAAATGTAGGTGAAAGCAAGGACAGAACTCCCAGCACCCCGACCTGGCCAGTAATCTTTAAGTCCCACACAGGGCCTGGTGAGAGAGGGTTTCCAATTCATTCTGACAAGCATGCAATATTAAGTTTAGGTGTGGGCCCTGTGGATCTGAAATTAAATATCCTGTCACTAACATGGATTTCTAAATCCCACTTATCTGAGGTATATGAAAAGTTAATGCCCAGCAGAGGAATCAGATTCAGAGAGACGCATGGCAAAAGCTTTCATTTTCAACTTCCCAACACTCTCCCAGGTGTAAAGGAGTGGAGCACATGCTGAGCGTACAGGGGGCTCCTTACTTCCCCCACGTTCCCCAGCTGGTGAATATTGCTATACTGTAGTTTAAATGTGTCCCCCAATTCATGCGCTGGAAACTTACTCCTCAGTACAACGGTAGTGGGAGATGAGGCCTACAAAGAGGCGCCTGGGTCTAAGAGTCCTCAAGAATCGATTAACGTTATTGTGATAGTGGCTCAGTTTGCACAAGACCAGATTCTGATAAAAAGCAAGTCCACACCTGGTGTCTCCTCTCTTGGGGACACAGACTTGCCTGTCTGCTTTTCTGCCACGTTCTGACATAGCCTGAGGGCCTTGCCTGATGCCAGTGCCATGCCCTTGGACTACCAGCTTGCAGAGATCCATAAGCTAAACAAGCCTCTTTGCTTTATAAATTTTCCAGTCTGTGGTATTCTATTATAGCAGTAGAAAATGCACAGAGGACAAGTGCTCAAGGTGCTCATGCTTAAGAGACTCACACAGGTTCTCAAGCACTTTCTCTACATTTATAGTCTCCTCCTGATAGGTGAGGGGGGAAGTGAAGAGTATGCGAATTATATGTGCTCAGGAAAGGTGAGGAGGGCTCATTTGCAGAGGCGTTCCTCCCTCTGTGTTGCCACTTGTATTAGTTATTTTTCTCTCATTGCTGAGACAAAATACTCAGCACCCAAAGTTAGGGGGAAAAGTTTATTTGGCTTACAGTTAGAGGTTTCAGTCCATATTTGGCTGGCTCCAAGGCAGGATGGGAAAAGACCAACAGTTCATGGAGGCAGAAGACAACAAAAGCAACAAGAGAAACATAACAGAATCTTCTATCTTTTTATCTCATCCAGACTACCGGGATTAGAGTGGTGCCAAACCAATCGGTCTCGTGTAGTGGTTTAGTAATCACATGCCCTTAATCCCAGCATCATACACTCTAGATTCAGCCACCTCCAATATAGCCCCAACTTTTTTGCATGAGGCTTTGGGGGAACATCAAAACACAAGCCATAACACCACCTTAACATTCACGGGCTCGAGTGTTATAATGCTCGGTGGGCTCTTAATAAATGCATACAAGGCCTTCATAGTTACAAACCAACAAAGACTGATGATCAGGAGCAGAAGCAGACTGGAAGGTTTCACACCATCCTCTTGATTTGGGATCCCAATGGCAGATCCTTGCAAGGCTCCGAGTGGTGCAGAAACATCTGCACTTAACGCCAGTCCTTCACTAACACTGATTGCAAAGCTACCGTGTCAAGATACTGTAGAGAGCATAAAATTGGGTGTATTACCATGGAAGTATATAGTTTGCCACACAAGAATCTTTATTCCATTTCAAAATTTGACACAGTGGCCTCTGACCCCAGAATTCACTGAGGCCAATTGTTCACCTGTGATGGCTTGGAGAGAGAAAGGAAGTCACTCTTTATTCCTCATGCTTGTCATGCTTACACTCTTCATTTTGGCTTCTGCCATTCAACAGCTTGGTGCTCCTTGAGAATTGTTTCATCTTCTTATTAATGTTTATAGGCTTTGAAGGTAAGGAACATTTCTTGCTCCTTGCACATAGTGAACATTTGATACTTTTCGAAAAATATTTGTTGAGTTCTTATTATATATTGGGTGCTTTCCTAGGCTGACTGACTTTAAACCAGACAGCACCTGTGATGGTTAATTTTATGTGTCAACTTGACTAGGATATTGGATGTGGAGATAGGAGTAAACCATCATTTTGGGTGTATTGATGAGTTTTTTTTCTTTTAAAGATTAGTATTTAAGTCAGTAGAATAAAGGAGATCACCCTCATCGATGTGGGCAGGGATCATTTAATCCACTGACTGCATGGATAGGGGGAACAAAAGTAGAAGGAGAGTAAATTTTCTCCTCTCCTTGGGCTGGGACATCCATCCTTTCCTGCCCTTGGACATCAGATCTGCAAGTTCTCTTTCTGATCTTGAAACTTAGAGTAGTGAGGCCTCGGACCTTTGACCTTGGACTAGGAGTTAAACCACCAGCATTCTTTGTTCTCCAGCCTGTAGGTAAGTATGGCCTATCACGGGACTTCTTGGCCATCATAATTCCATAACAATTCCCCATATATACATACACATATGTACATAGATATAAAAGTATATGATATTTCCTTTTGGTATATGTAACATACCGGTACACACACACACACACACACACACACACATATCTAGCTATCTATCTATTGGTACTTATATTATCTTATTGATTCAGTTTCTCTGGGGGAACTCTATCAAAGAACCTCTGCAAGGCAATTATTCCCATTTTACAGGTGAAATTCTTGAAGGACATTTCTGGTGATAAATGAGTGCTAGGTAACAACAACCAGGAATGACCAGAACCCAACTATTTCAAGTTCAAGGCCAATAGGTACTTTGCATCAGA